TCAAAGGTCGTTTGCAGCCTTTGCGCACGAAAATTTCATAAATCTCACGATACGCATTCCAGCGGCACAACGAATTACCCAGTCAGCAGAACTCTCAACAACAAGTAATGCACACCGCACAAGTTACCTTAAAATGTTACAAATATAAGTCGAGGATTAATAAAACATTCGAAGTAACAGTTATGAATCCTGGATTGACAACCCTTTACCTTTCTACCGCAAACGCCGATTATCCGTCTACTGAAACCCCACTCCCGGGACTGTCCTACCATCTCATCCACCAAGGCGTCTGCCATTTGCAGTTGCATGGTAGATTCAACACATCCATTCGCCAGTTTGCGACTAGTATCGTACTCCTTAATCATGTTTCGTGATGTCTTACACCTCAATAATCGACTATCGAAGTTGCAACGGTATCACTGCTCTGTCTGTGTCTGCCTGTGACAAGTAATCGACCTCCTATCCGAGGAGCGACTTTACGTTCGTGCAACATTTTCCTCAGTATACGTCCCCTTCCAATTGTATTATCCTAAAAGCAGACAGCACACGGAAAACGGCATTGTGATGCTAGGCTGCTCACCCTGGCTTAAACAGTTTTCCCTGTGTAGTATTCGCTTACACATTCCGACCACCGATCGGTGTGTCTCGCCGCTCTTTAATTCGCCGGCAGAGCATTCCATGGCTAAAAAGACGCTTTTGACGCAAAGCAACCATGCGTCTAGTACTGAAGCACACCTTTTATTTCTGCACCGTCCTCCCTCACACGCCCAGCCGTTCTCAGTCGCAACAGTTAATAAACTAACTCCAGTAGGCGGAAAGCACGATTGGCCGCCGTGGACTTGGTTCTTTTGCTACCGGACATGCTTTCATAGGGTGTGGAAACATTTGGCCTAAACGCAACCTACGGATAGAGATGGGCGCTGAGAGGATTATTTTTCCTTCGAATGTCAGCCATGAAGTATGAAGCTCGGGAAGTGCTTATATACTTACTTAGATTACACCTTGTAAATAATGCGATCCACTCACGTGTTTTCCATGTTGTTTTCGACGTGGCGTATGTGGCTCTTTCGTATGTGTAACTTGCCGACATGACCTTTGACAAATGGTGATGTATGTACTTGCTTTGACAGACACTCTACCCGCGCAACTTTTACCGACTGTAAGGTTTAAGGCTTCACGTGTTCCTAACGCCTTTTCGATTAATGAACTTTGTGATGAATTTGCAGAAAACTGCATCAGTTTTCCCCCGAAACTAGTTTAGCTACAGGGGATTTCTTCTAAGACAACTCTGAAAATATTTTCGGAGATATCATTTTTCGAAATTATTTCTTGTCTCATACAGTTAACGTAATTCCAATCAAAAATTCAATTTAACCCTTGCTTTTATTGTGTACGACTTTCTTGTTTTCCTGCTAATTAATCGTTAATGTTGAGCTGCACTTAAATGGACAAAAACATCGTCAGTTGGGGTGCGTGGGAACATTTTACTTAATTCAGTTTAAGGATAGCCTGAATTCTCTCACGTAATCCTCCTTTCGGTTTATCTATTTTTCGTGCGTTAAAAAGGGCATAAAGAAGTGATGGGCAAGTTCCTGGTCTCGTGACGGCTGTTTAATATGTTAAGCCTCTCTTAGGATGAAGTACTTTAGCCTCTGGTGGTTAGGCGTTTTCTCAATGACTGTCAGGCTCTGTGGACGATAGCCTAGCTAGCCTAGAGAATTTCCAAACGCGGAAGAAGCGGTTCATCACTTAGTTTGCTTCTTGGCTTATGTTCATTTAAAAAATAACAAAGACTAGAATGACTGTTTTGCCGAACTTGTCGCCTCTTAACGGCCATATTCCGACACCTGACCGGGCCAGATTGATTGACACGCCAGACTTACCGTAAGTTAGAAAGAGCCATTTCAGTCTCTGTTTTACTTGTCGGTCTCAGTTTTTGAGAAATAGTTGCTAGTCGCAACGCTACTGCTATCTACGTCTGTATGCTGGAGCTCCAAGTTCAAACAAAACCTCGTATCCGGTTCTGCAATCAAGTTGGATGCCTGATCGTCCTTTCCTTGCGACTTTAAATCTTTGAATGTTGTGGACACTTATGTTCCCCAAGCATGTGATGACTGAAATCTTAGACAAAAATATATTTGAATGTGCGTCTGGAAGCACACCTCTGGTGGACGAAATTGCTATTGTCGAAATTATCAGGAATGCAGCGGTACAGTATCGCTTCGCTGGAGACGTATTGTTGTTTTCGTAGCAAGTCGTTCCCGCGGTAAGGATGACTTGTGTGGTCATCTAGCCGGGGGCTACGAGAAAAGGTAACTTTACGCTGAGTTTTAGGAAGGCTACATACCCCTGTGCTTTAATCCTAGCACTAATCCTAGCGTAGAACCTAACTCTAACCTTGATCTCCAGCATGATCGTGACCCTGTTCCTAACTCTGACCCTAATCCCAACCATAAAGTGAACCCTAAACCTAATTTACACAGAATTTGTCGCGAAGTCGCATGCATTGTGGTCGATTCCTGTTCCCTTGGTCCTTTTTAGGTAACCACGTAAGCTATCCTTACGATCTCTTCAACCAAGGCATAATGGAGTTGTTAATCATACGTTTCCCGATCCCCTCTATTCTGCTGCCCTCAGATTCTGTTTTATCCGCCTTTTCGTTCGCTTGATTTGGGAAAGACCAGTTAATACTACCGAACTTATTGTTCAAGTTAGTCCTATCAACCGTCTGATCGTACTCCGAGGCAAAGTTTTTCTAACCGGGTTACTTTCATCCTTAATGTCAATCGTAAAATAAGCCTGTCAGTAAAATTTAACCGTCCGCAAGCACCAGCTGATTGTATCAGCACTTCTGCTTTCCGGTGTTTTTGCTCCGCGTATTCTCTGAATACCACGTGTCCTAAGTTGCGTTTCGTTTTCACCACGATATTAACGCCAGTTTGCAGGCCGGAAGCACACGCATTGAGGGATGATCAGTTATTTGTGTAAACATGTTCCACCGTCTACTCTAGATTTACACGGGCAGCCGTCCATTATGTGGTCAATTACCTACCTTAACTCCAAACGACTGTCATTCCGCAGCCCTACCTCGCCCTTTTTTGTTCGACTTGGCACCAACGCGCATGTTCTTCCACTTCTGTCCATGCCTCTCGACCGATCACACGTATGATCAAAAATAGATTGCTTCGCACATGCACACAAATGACCATCATTAAGAGGCATGATTGCAGTTACGCACAACATGCTGTACCAAGTTGTGCCAAGGTCGACGTGTCGGAGTTGTCACTATCCTTAAGCCTGCGAAGTTGGAGCAGCACCAGTTGGAGCAGCAGCAGCAGTAATCGCTCACAGTCGTGTTTAGCGTTGACACTTTTGATCGCGTTAGCTTCCTACATTTTTATGCACGTTAGCAGCAGTGACGTCTCTGACACTGCACTCGATGTCATCTGGATGCGAGATTCATCGTAGTTTTGCCGCGGGCACGGGGCAGAGAAAGACAAAAAAGTGCTATTGGCTGCACGTGATCTTTTTTCGCGGTAGTAAACCGGTACAGTCTGGAATTTGGTGGTTAACTCGGCTCTAGATTAAGGTACCTGCTGCACTGGCTCCGTATTGTTACATTTTGCTCCGTTAAGACCTCAATACTTATCGCCATTGATCCAGACAGACCACCTGTCAATCCAAGTTGCCAATGGATTAAGTGATGTTCTCGCATTTGCCTTCTAGGACATGCTAGACTTCATCCAGCCGGCAAATTTAGATTGGAGACCACAAAATGTCCGTTTTGTTGCCGTATCTATTTCAGTCTGTGTGCTTTCTGTTTTTCCATGGTATGCCAGATGTTTACACGATCCTGTTTTGCCAGGTTGAGGAACTATTTCTTAGTCCTGTGGCATCCTGGAAGACGAAGCCTAGCTGCTAACATTTAAATGATTTATTTCAAATGCACGTTTCTTTACAATCTGTCGTCCGGTTCCCTTCCTAATTCTGGCCCCCACACTTTTGGTTTCGTCATCGTGCCTTGCGGATCAACAAACTCGTGGCCTCGGGGGTCCTGGGCGTTTCTTAAATCAAAACTACGTCTTTCTGTCCGTGGATAAATGCATATTTCTAATTTGGTTTTGCCATCGTTACTATTATCTGTGACTTTGTCATCGATTTGCACAGTTTATAAGGACAGTTTCTGTCAATTTTTTAATCTTGTGCTCTCGTTTTCTTGTTCGACACCCAGTTTGTCCATGATTTGCTCGTTCTTGTTTCATGAATATAACTCAAATGCCAAAAGTGTTGCCAAACTGTGGGCCTACTTTTGATGTATGAATGAAGTTCCTTTTCTACTACACTCCTATGGATAATTGTCAATGGACGAAATTTCAAATTAAGTCCTTTTTGGGGCTTTTTGACACCACCCGCCGTCGTGGTTTTCAGACCTTGCTCTCTCAACGCCAACCTACTAGTCTAATCGGTGGCGTTGTCACATAGCCCCTGCCGCACTCTATTCAGGCCAGGCTGGTAACTTTTATTAATTCGCACCT